TAACTTCCATAATCAAAAGTATTTTAATTTGAAGAACATAAGTCCTCAAACTGAAAGATTTCAATTCCAAGACTTTAAGTTCTTGTTTGGCTGTGTGGAATTTTGTAAATCCATTCTTAAATTGAAGCAAAACTAACCAGATTTCCAGCTTGCCATGAAATAAATATCAGCTTAAATCTTAACAAGTAGTTGCCCAATCACCAAGCAGTTTCACAGAAATGGTGTAATTTTCTAATTATCATAATTTAAATCTCTCAATATTGCTAGTCTTAAGCAGCACGACTTAGAATTCTAGCAACGTGACTGACAACTTGCAAGTTGTTTTCAACTCTCAGGTAAAAGGTGACTCCTAGGGGGTTAATAGTTTAAAAGCATTCGTTCCTGCTTGACATCCCAGTGGTTTTCTTGTGTTGCTTGGCACACAATGCATTTTTTCTTGTGCTTAAAAAGAGGTATGTAGGAGTGTTTAAAAGAAGAGGAGTGAGGGAGTTTGACCACTCCCAGAGGGAAGTGCGGAGAAGAATTGGAGCTGGCACGGGATTATCTCAAACAGTTGGTGCATTCCTTAATGATCAAGTGCTTGAGAAAGCCCAAGTTTGTCTCACGAAGCATTTGTGCTGATGTTTATATCAGAGCTCCTATGTATGGGAAAACAATTCTCTGACCAGAGATGATTTTGTGAGTTCACAGCCCCTCTTCTTCTCCTTTGTCTGTTGTCAGTGTTAAATCTGAAGTTCTTCCTCCAACAGGGAGAAGGCATTTCTTTTTTTCATATTGTGTTTTTTTATCGTTTTAAGGACTAAAATTGGAAGCACCTATTTTGGCATATGCAGACTTTTTTCATTTCCAATTCACAATTAGTTTTAAAACAATCAAATCTCTCTGACACGGGTCTGGTTAAATCTGTATGTACTGTACTTTTTCAATAGCAACCATACATAGTTTCTCAGAAGGAAGTAAATGAACTGTGGGGGATCAATTACCTGTGATTGATTGTCGATCAATTGCTTTGCAGTTCTGTTGAAAACAGTAAGGGAAGCTGTATTTACTTTTTGTTGGAGCAAATTTGTTGGTTCACTGAGGTATAGATAAACACTTCCAGGGGTGACACCCCAAAAAATTAAATTAGGGTAATCTGTAATATCCAAAGACTCTGATCATCTGGAACCCTCATCAGTCTTGCTGGGGTTACGAGATTGGGGTTTTGTGGGTTCTAGTCATAAGCAAACTCAGATTTCAATTCCTTCTGTTTGTGTTTCAAAATTCAGCAAAGTGAAAATTAACCAAATGAGATGCCAATTCTTTTGAAGTGAATTCTTAAAAAGTACAGAAGCGAGTTTGACCTCAACCAAACTTTCTACTTGATATATATTAAGTTTATTCTTATTGTTAGTGTTTTTTGGCACATCTTTCTTTTCATGTGGGGGCATGAGAGTGTATAAGGATGGGTGGGGCAGTAAGGGAAATAAGTTCCCTTTGGAATATGTGCACAGTGCTTCTATCTGTTCTTGTCCAAAAGAAAGGACAAGAATAATTGAGAAGCTAATGCCATTTAGGGTAATTTTTTTCTTTTCCGCCATCTCCCGCCTCTCCATTATTTCTACAGAGCTGTCAGCTTTGTTTATCAATCCGTGAACGTAAATTTTGCTCCTTGATTCCTATTGGAATGAGGTACAGATGTAGCACAGTTACAGATTGTGTTTTCTTTCCTAAGTGGCTACAGTAAATCTTGTTGCTTATTCCATTTTATGCATTCAGGGTACTGTTAGTGTTTAGCTTTCATTTCAAGAAAACCACATCCCAAGGCTGTAAATATAATCTGAGAATTTACAGAATTGCACATTGGGGCTCACTTATTCACATACATTGTGTGCATAAAAATAAATTGAAAGCTGATCAGGGGAGGCTTTTTTAATTTCCTCCTAACAGCACACCAGCAGTTTTATAGAAGTAGAAGCCTGCCTTTCAAAAAATATAATGGGCTTTTTTCTTCAGGCATTCTTTTACACCACATCTAAAATTAAGTAATAAAGTGTTCTTTTATAGAAAACATGTAAGTTTGTTATAAGAGGAGAATAGAATAGCTAAGGCATATATGTATATATCTCTATAGGTACTGGTAGCTGGAGAGGTGTTGAGAGTTGATGTATCACAATCAATTTTTTTTTTCTTTTAGCATTTTAAGAATTTACCCAGCAAACTCTTAAATAAAAAATAAAAAAGTTTCTCAGAGGAGCTACACTGTGAAAGGCATACAGTGTTTGATTATTTAAAAAAATGAAAGAAAAAATATTCCTCTGAGTTTCTAATTTTTTGTTTGTTTGTTTTTAGAAAATGTTCTTGCTCCATTCTGTTGTGTCCCCCTCATCCCCGCTTGGTGGGACTTGGGGACTGATAGAGTGGAAGTTACTGTTTTTGTGTAACCCAAACAGCTATAGGAAACATGTTGAATGGATGAATATAATTGCGGAATAAAAGCACAACATATTACTATGGTTGCTACCAATTTGAAGATAAAATATGGATATATGGACAAAAGTCTAGTTTGCTTGCTGTTCGTTTTAACGCTGTGTTTATTAAGCCACATGGACAAATCTCTAATAATGTATCATTTTGGGAATCTTCAAAAATTGTAAGGCATGCTTTTTTCATTCAGATGTTGGCTCACAAAAGCCCTTTCTGTATCTGAAATATTTCATGACAGTATAACGCATATAAATCCATAAAGCACCCTTGACATGACTGTAACTAAATCTGTGAGGCATTCAGAATACTTTTTCCCTGTCCTTATAAATTCGAGCTCTTTTGTTTGCAACATGTTCACAAATGACTCATTGTTCAGAAGAGGCATTTAACCACTTATAAACAAGAATGCCCCTTGGTTACTGTTGCAGATCCTTAGAATGTCTTTTTACATTTTGGACAAGTACAAAATATTCTTAATATTCATGATGTCATCTCAAAAAGAAGATAGAGGTGGGCTTTAGAAGAACTGGTCAGGCAAAGTAACATGGAATAGTAACAAATTAAAAAGTGAAATGAATCCTTTTTCTTGCATTCTACTAGAAATAAACAATGAAAATAAAATCATATTCTTTACAAAAGCAGATGAACTCAGAAAATGGCTTCAGAGCTCCCTGTGGAATCAAGAAATTGCTTTTATGGCAAACATGGATCTGACATTACTTAGACATGTCTCATACCAGAGTTTTATTCCCCATAAAAGGGTCAGAAAGCCTTTTTACAGTCACAAATTTACAAATTAGTCAACATCTGCCTCCCTCATGCCTTTAAATGCTGATATTTAAATGCTTCTCATGAGTGTAAATATTTTTTACTAAACTCTAAAACAAAAACATGAAACACTGACAGCTATTGTCTAGGACTCTGAATGTGCTACTTGTGTCTTTTTTATAAATATTATTGTAAAAGACTTGTTTTGCTATGTATCTTAAGAGTCACAGAATTGCATATTCATTCATTCCTAACTTGGAAGAGAGAGCTCAGTTTTCTTATTTCAGTGCTGGTGAAGGTTACCGCATATTTGCAGACTGTGTCCAAAATGGTTCTATTGCGGGAGTCTGTGAGACTGTAGGAAAAGTTCTGTTTGATGGGAACAAGCTGACCTCCATTTGGAAGGAACAACTTGAAGACGCAGCCTGTGCTGGTTAGCAACATGTTCTTTATCACCGACCTCAACGACAGAACGGCGGATTCCAGCCATTCCTCGACTGATTAATTATCCCATGGACAAATGTTAATTGTTTTCATCACTGCTTCCAGCTCGCATAGAAACCCATTTCATCTCTTACCTTGTGCTTACTTTTTTAATGTCTCTTTGTAGTCTGTCTTATCTCTGCACACCCTCCTCTTATTGACCTCAATGAGACAACGAAACCTGATAGCCTGTTACTATTAATGAAAAAAAAAATGACAGGAATAAGAGAGGGTGGAGAACTGAAGCAGACGTGCTTTTGTTTTTTAGAATTAGACTGACTTTGAATGACCTTTTTTTTCATTTTAGGTGGCCTTCCAAGGTCACAGAAATCAATCTCTGCTGTTTGCCACCTTCAAGGGAAATAAAACATTCAGATTTCAGACTTTTTTTTTCACCCGGTTTCACTTTTGGCTCATGTTGAGATGACTGAAGGTTTTATGTTTCTTATAATTACTATTGATAGTGAAATGCTTTTTTTTGGAAATTATCCCCTTCTTGACATTTACAAAGATTTTTCAAGCAGCATGTTGTAGCGTGCTTTTAATTAATTTGTAGGGGTTTTTATGGTGTCGCTATTATGTAAAACATCATACCTTTTCTGTAGTCCAATACATTGTTGTATTCCTTAACCCTTGTTAACTTGTGTTAGCTAGTCCTTGCACATGCTTTGATTTCCAAGTACCTTTATCTCATGCTGGCTAAGCTATTAAATCTACTGAAGCACAAATTCTTGCAAACGTTTTTGCTGCTTTATTTTTAGTTTTTGCACTGGAAGTGGGAGTGGTGTAATTCCTTCATGTTCAAGAGGTTTTAATTTTCAAAGTGTGATAAATTCCCAAAAAACAATTTTGTGAAACAACCAACCTCTGCATTTATCATTTTACATTCTAGAGAGCCTATATAATTAATGTCATGGGAACCTTATTTTTCTATATTTCCTAGTAAGCTTAGGTAAACAGGTCTAATTACAGTGTTCTAACTTGACTAACAGCTTTGCTTTTCTTAAGGTTGAATTTTACTCTTTGCCTAGTAATTTAGTTTAGCAAGGTATGCCTTTTATATTTACATTTTATATTTGTGAAGTTTTTGCTTTGTGGAATATGGAATATACAATTGGCACACCAGAAAACAATATTTGCTTTCAATGTCTCTTTTATATTTGTATTATAAATTGAATCAGTAAAATGTATTTTGCAAAACAAATCACAGGATAAGAATATCATATTTAAAATGGTGTAACCCACTAACATGAAATTGGGGGTTTCCTTTCTGTTTCTTTCAGAATCTTCTTGCATGGAAAAGCTTCTCTCTAAAGACTGGAAGGAGAAAATGGAAAGACTCAACACAAGCGAACTTCTTGGGGAAATCAAAGGTAGGAAACTGCAAGTTAGGATTGACAGGCTAGGCTGGACTCTGTCCAGCTGTTTTTCTTTATTCTTTCTTCATTAATGAGCTCATTAGTGTGAGCAAATGAACGGATTAACTAAATGTTGTCTTCTCATTTGTAACCTTCCTTATGTTCTCTTTAATTTGTTTAGGGTTGTAGAAAGATCTTAGAAATGACATTTCATGAAAAATAATCTGAAAATGGGCTTGCTCTGAACAAATCTACTTTTCAAAAACCTTTAACTACTGTCCTGCCACTCGAAATATGCCATTTCTGACAACACAGCAATATGAATCTCTGTGTAAAAGACTATTTTCTTATTTCTTTCTACTAAGTCTAACATTTTTGTATTCAAACTGTGGGAGATTTAACTTATGTTTGCAGCAGATGGGTAGAATTGAGTTGATTTCCAGTGCTTTTAAGTCATTTCACATGCATTATGGATATAAGGTTTATAGGCCATGTAATTCAGCATTCCATAGGTTTCTATACAGTAATGGGCTTGTGTTTCCCAGGTTACTGTGCTAATAGTGTAAAATATAGTTTTGAATAGAATTTCATTTTAACAGTTAGCTTGAGAATGCAGACTACAGTCTATGACTGTGCTCTCCGCTATGCCTTTTGAACACAAATGTGTTTTTTTTTTCTGAGGTGGTGGACGATTTCTAAGCAGTAGATATACATTTTCCTATAAATCTTTCTGTTTATTCAAAGAGGAGGTGGTTTTCTGTGAAGTTTGTCTCTTTGCAGGCCAGTCCAAAGCACAGGCTGTTACTAAGATATGTTTACTTTCAAGGGGAAGGCACAGTACTAGTTGAAGATAACCTGGCTCTCTGTCTTGCTGTAGAGGTTTCTTTGTGTTCCAGTCTGGCAGGAGAACCAAGTGTGGGAGCATCCCTAGGCAGAGCTCCAGCTAACTCTCTGTAGCTTGTAACATCACTGCCGCAAATTGAAAGAAATAAAATGTAAAAAATAAAACGGTAATTACATTTTGTTACGATATCAATTTATGTATTATTTATGCTTTCATATGGTTCAATAACTAATTTTATTTGAAAGATCTGTCAGGGAGATATCTTTTCCACACTACAGAAAGAGAGAGAGATTACACAGTCTGAAATCTGATATGTTTTTGTTGTTGTTGCTATCTGAAAACTATGTAGAGAGCTCTGGATACAGGATGCTGCCTACTGTTTGACATCAGATTATTAAAACAAAAGATTCTTGTTGATTTTATAAATGTACTTCTCCTTCATTTTGTATTTGCTCAGTGTCTGTACTAAACAAAGAATAAATCTTTTTTTTTTTCAGTTTAATTACTCGGGTAGATTTACAGTGCCTCCAACACACACACGAACACAGAAACCACTGCATTTCAGTATACTTGTATTCACTGGCAATAACCTTAATGAATCCCTGAATAATTTATGCCTTCATAAACAAGATTAATTGTACCTGACCTAAAATATGTTGTTGTATTTTAAAGTGCTTTTTGTAAAAATATTTTAAATGACAGAGGCTTTCAACACAAGCTTTGTTTTTCTTTTCTGAATTGCGGCATGTTTATTCATTTGGAAAACAAGAATGGTTGGAAATAGTGTTGATGAGTACACAGGTAGAACTGATAAAGGAAAGAAAACACTGGTTGCTCTGTTGATTTCCTAGGAAACTGAATCTACATTAGAAGTTACAAATATAAATACCTTTCATATCACACTGGCAGCCTTAGGTTTTTAATTAGCATACCATTTCATATGACTGTAGACATTTCAAAGCTCCTCTTTGTGCTTCCCCTTACAAACATCTTTCTCTTCTTTTGAAGTCTGCCTGATGTAAATACTAGCAATTAAAAAGCAGCTCAGGGTTGGAGACACAAGGTCTTCTTAATTAAAAAACAAACAAAAGCACCCAGCAGAAAACACCATATGATTAAGATCTAAAGTGTTATGATAAATCAGAATCCACATTAATTGTTAGGTTAAAATCAATACAAAGGGCAAACACGTTTGTATGTTTAAATTAATGGAGGAAAGTCAGAGATAAAGGCTGACATCTAGATAAAAAGCTACCTACTGGCAAGCTGGCCTTGCAACACATTCTCAAGTCCATATTTATTGAATCCGGAAAATAAAGGCATTGTGTATTCTACTTAGAGCTTTTACTTTGTTGTATTGTTACATTGCTACAAAAGATTTCTTTTGATGTCCAAAGATAAATAAGTGAAATATAAAATTCTGCTCTTGTTGAAATGGACCACTGGTAATTCATGTGTTTTTTTGCAATGAAGCTATTCTTTGAGAAGTCTGGTCTGTCGGTCTTGGTTGTTTTTAAGCTAGCTGCTTTGCATATTTTTCACATCTGCGAAGTGATCAGTGTGGCTTCAACTGTTCCTGCTGTAGGGTGAAAACCGTTACAGGACCTTTTGAATGGGCAAGGACCCGATAGCGAGTCTGAAAGCTGAGCGATCGAGAAAAAGAGAATGCAACATGGTTACAGGCTTGTCAGTACACAGCTGTAAGTTAAACATCATCTAGTGTCAGTTTTCCAACTAACATCATTTTTTTAAGATGTTGTATTTTTCCCCTTTTCCATTTGACTTGACATTGAGTAATTAAAAAAAAGTATGAATATTATTCAAAAGCTTAAGTAAAAATAATATTGTGATTCGTTTGTGAGAACCTTTAAAAAAGGCACTAAAGTAAGTACAGAGTAATCAGCCTTCACAAGTGTCACTATGTCATTGTTTTGTCTTCTGACTATCAATATCGTAATATTGCAGTAATTTAGGAGTTAGTTTTACGTAAGCTGAGCAAACCACAAACCAATTTTCTAGAGCAGAACGGCTTCAGTATAACCCAATGAACTAAGGGGAAAGATGACAAGCATATATTTTCCAGATTGAGCCTTCCAGTTTTAAATCATGAATACCGTCATCACAGGGAACCTCATTCAATGCAGCACTTTTATAACCAATTAAGGAGTTAATGCATGAATACTGAAACACACTAGATATGAAAGTGCGATACTACTAGCTGATAGCATTGGTATACCAATTACACAGGTAACTGTTTGTTTTCATACCTTAATTTAGCTGTCAGTCATAAGGAACAGTGAACCAGGAGATGTACAAAACCACAAAGAAAGAAAGTTAGTCTGGAGGGTCTCCAAGCCACAGAGAAACCTTAAGAGGAGCAAGCCCAGGACAGCGCTGCAGAGACTTGATTCCCGTTTAATTATTGGCTTTCAAAGAGATTTTTTATCATGTTTAAAATAAAACTTTACTTCACTGCCAGCTCTTTAACGGCAAATGTGTTTCAGATACATCTTAAATTTGTTTTACATGTTGGAATGCTTGGACCATCATTACAGCTATTATTATTCATATTCTGTGATATTAAAGTTTTTCAAAGCTTTGCTAAAGGAGTGCCAGTTGAAGAATTTGTCTTATGTTTAAGGCAGATTATGAAGGAATGTAACTGCAGTTTTACTGAGGGGGAAAAAAGGTAGGAAAAAACACCAAGGTTTATAAAATAAGCTCTGCTACTGCAGTGTGGTTTGCATTGAACACTTTCATTCATAGTCAATCTGGGTCATGGAGTTTCTTTTGCTTTCACTCTGAAAGGGCTTTTTTTAATTTAGCAGTTACATTTCAGTGTCTCCAGCCCTAAAAATGGCAGGCATTTCCCGAGAAAAATAAAAAAATAAAAAATGGTGGCTAAATTTTAACACACACAAACACACACACTGTATTCAATGTATCATAAGGTTTAATAAAAATATTACCCAGTATTGTAACTTTGCGTAAAATGGTTGCCTAAATACGATATGCAAGAAAATCAAGCCTTCTTGCAGATGGATAATCAATTATTAAATGGTTTCTACATGACAGTTCTCAAGTCTGCATTTAAAGTCCTGTGGCAGGCTGATAAGTACAAGCTATTTACTCTCATAACCCAGGAATGGCTTCAGCTGAGATTGATTTGATGTTAGGAGTACCTGGGCTTAATTTTATGTTAGAACAGAGAGGTACTGTATACAGACAGAGCACTGATTGTTCAGGCAGCTGGACATACTTAGAAACAGGATTATTCAATTTAACATTTACCTTTATTCTTAATTGTTCAAATAAAGTATGACCCAAATGCTGATGCACTATATATTTATGTTAATACATTCCTGTCTTATTTATTGAAACCTCCAGCTAAATGGAAGATTTGAAAATAGAAATAAATACACGTCAGACTTCCTGTAAATTTTGTATTTGTTTCAGAATTTCAGAGATCTTTGCATCCAAGAAACTGAAGCATTATGGACTTAAAGCCATTTAATGTTTATCATTAATTCTGACTTAAACAGAACCTCTCCATTCCATCATTTCCTGAAAAGTTTGTGATTGCCACACCATCCCTTCATCCTTTGTCTTTATGGGAACGTGCAAAGGGCATGATCCCCACTCCCCACCCTGTTACCTAGGAACCCCCAAGTGAGGACCACCCTAAGTCGCCAGCATGCTAGGTGACATGAAGAGTCTTCAGCGTTTAATTGAATCCTATGGGTCTGCGAAAAAAAAGACGGGGTTTTATAGGCAACATTAAATGTTGACAGATTTGAAAATAGGGTAAGTCTTGATTTTAGGGGGTGCTAATCGCACTTTATACTGTAAGAACATAACAAACACAGCTCTTAACAGTGAAATAGCCATTAATAAAGTAGTTAGAAAAAGCTCAAACCTCCCTCAGGTTAACCACAGGTATGCATCTGATCGTTAGTAAGGGTCACCTACTATCAGGTTAGTCACACAGTGAAATAAATGAAGAGTTTTTATTGTGTGCTAAACGTGCGGACACCAAGATAAGACATTGGACATTTTTTTTACAATGTGCAGTTATAGTCTGTGGAATGTGCAGTATAGTCCCTCTCCTCTTAAGACATTATTAGTCCAATGGCTTCATGACCCCAGGTTGAAACCAGGTGGGTGAACAGTT